GAGATTACGGAAAAATTTATAGGATAAAGTTAAGCATTTGAATAGTGAAATTCGATATAGGTTACCGCAAGAGTAGTCGAAGAGATGATCAGATCTTTGACACAAGAGATGGCGACAAGAAAATCACGAAGCCTATTCTTCGTTTGTAGATCAAACTTCTTTCCGAAAGTCAAGTTAAACGCAATATCGATATCCGCTTTTACAAGGGAAACCGGATTATTTAGTATGACAGTTGCAATTCGATGATCACTGATCTTCAGATACTCAAGCCTGGGAGCATCAATTACAACTGCTAGACCTTGAAGCAAATCATCAGCATCCGCAACAAGAGTGCAGTTCAATAGAGACTGAGAACACACTCGACAAATATTTACACTGTAGTACCGGTAACCATTCCATATAAGATTTACATACTCATAGGGACTCCTGCATAAAGTTATGGTTTCGAGAACTGGAGAACCTGAGATGAGCATTTTGAAAGCCAAATTGTTGGGAAACTTGTAGATCGATAAAGACACAAACTTGGGATTAGCCAAGACTACATCAAAGACAACAAGCTCTCACAAGTGTAAATTGTTTTGGGGTATCTTTACCACATCATTCCCCAATTTTTTTCCCAAAACATGGAGATGTTGAAGTTTCCGCTCAACGACGGTGTTGATCCATCGGGTGAAAGGAGCAATATCAAGGTACATATTTCCAGAGATTTCTCCATTGGGGAGATAACACACTAAACTTAATCACATCCTTGGTTGGAAGATTCAAGAGAATATGAAATAGCAACGAATATGGTAAGTCACTCAGCATATCTACTCTCCCTAATCTATTACCCGATTGTTTCGCACAATCACTGTTTTCTTCCATGGTTCTCTCTCTCCCTAGCAAAACATTCGAATCGAAACGAAATATGTACCTATGAAAATAGCGAAATTATTAATCTCGCACGAAAGAGTAGATCAAATGCGATCGTATCTACTTCATTGATTCAATCGGAGCTGCAGGTCAGCCATTTCTTCCTCCGTCGTCGTCGTCTTCGAATCTCGACGGAGATTGATCTTACACCACCTCCATTGGGATCTTCTTACGAGAATTCTAATCACTAAAATATAATATTTAAATATACAAAATATTAATAAGTAATTATGGGATTTTAAAAAATAGAGAGAAGGTTCTAAAACCACTTCTATTGGTGGTTCTTAAGTAAAAATTATGGGGTTCTTTAACATTAAAAAAAAAACTTTAAAAAATAGAGATTTTGTGTTAATAACTTAAGTACCGGTACTTAAAACAATACACCCTCTATTTTAAAATATAAGTTGTTTTAGTTAATAGTGCGAATATTAAGAAACTACTTTTCTACTAAAAAATATCATTTAATATATTTATTAAAAATAATTTGACCAATCACACAAAAGACTGCAAAATAGTAGTGGTCATACAATATTCAATAAATACTAGGATTGTCAAAACAACTTACATTTTGGAACAAAAAAAAAACCTCCAAAACAACTTATATTATGAAACGGAGGGAATATTAAAGATATTCTAAGGGGATGGTATTCAATTCAAGAATGTAATAGATTTTGAAAGAATTGAACATTCTATCAAATTCTATTGTTATTCAGTTGTCTATTTTATGAATTCTTTTAAATTCTTGTGTTATTCAATGTAATAGAATCTTAATTCCATTAAAAACTAGTGTTATTCAATTTTATTGCAGTATTCATGGCATTGGAAAATTAATAGAATTCTAATAAAAATTTGTGAAAAACCAATTCTCACCTATTTTGCTGGGATTTCGATAGATTCTCTAAAATCAATTAATTTCCAATTCTTTTAAATTCTTCGATTGAATACCACCGCTAAGACTCATAAGATGTCAATCTCTTATTGGTTGAGTGATTCTGACTAAAAAAAAAAAAAGTTTGAGATAACCCCAAAAAACCGACTCTCTCTCTCCCACGCGTTTCGCTCTCACCGATGTCTTTTTCTCCCGTCTTTGTGAACAAGCTGATGTCACCGAGGTAAAATATCTTGATCAACCGATCAAAATCCGTCTATGAACCGATCCAAATCGAGGGATCTCCGCTTGTGCTATCTGGAATCGAGGGATCTCCGCTTGTACTTTCTGGAATCGAGGGATCTCCGCTTGTGCTGTTGGCGACGGAGCTGCTCCGACTTTCAACGATCGTTGATTGGACAATGAAGGGATCGTTGATTGTTTCTGGGAGTAATGATGGTTCTTGTAAAATCTGGGATGCTACTTGTTTGAAGACTTTGATTGATAATAAATCTCTTGCTGTTTCTTTCGGATACTGGGAAATTCATACTCGTTGCTACTCTCGATACCCTCCAAAAAATATATTGTCTGGCTTAATCTGTGAATTACAAATCTTGATATGATATTGAAGAATGTAGAATATTGGGTTAGAATGATCATGTAGTTGTGAATTTGCATCATGTTTAATTTAGGATATGTACAGAATCAAACTTTAATCTAGTCTTTGATGGGTTCATATCAAGATCGTATAGTTTGTGAATTTGATCTTAATCTGAATATGAATAGAAGAATGTAGAATATTGGTTTCAAATAGTTTGTGAATTTGCATGTGTTTGATTAGAGACATGAACAAGAAGTAAAGAACCCAACATTTGTATAGTATAGTCTTTGATGCTTCTTGGATTTGTCTTAACATTTTGATGCAGAACGAATGTAGAATCTGAGAACTAATGGATTCTCTTGTAATGCTTCTTTACTAATGGATTTATATTTGATTTGGATAAATGGACATGTTTGATTTGGGTATATGAACAAATAGTAAAGAATCGAAATTTCATCTAGTCTTTGATGGGTTCTTGCTTGCATTTGTGTTCTCTTGTAATGCTTCTCTTGCTTGCATGTACTAGAAGTAAACAATCAATCGTTGATTTGGATATGTGGACATGATTGATTTTAGTCCGATGCACTATCAAATTTATCAATATAGTCGATTATGGGCCTTAAGATATTGTACTGGGCCCATATATTATTACTAAATGAAACGGCCCAACTGATATTTCTCAATTCTCGCTCCAACTTCTTCTTCTTCGTCCCTCTCTCTGGTTCTCTCTGGTTCGATTCAGATAACCGAAATTTTTTTTCTACTTAGATTCCGGTGATTATTGCCGGAAAATCATCGTATTTTGCAAAGGTTCGATCTTTTTTTTTTCTTAGCTTGTGTGTTTGGGTTTGCTTTTGTTTTATTCTGTTGTTAGGGTTTTGTGATATAACTACTCAAAGGAGAAAAGTCTGAAACTTTATACTTTGTTGTAGCTAATTTGCAATTGTTAGCTTTGTTCTTTTGAATGAATTGTAACCTTCTAATTCCATATACAAGCTCCGTTAGGAGATTTGGAATTCTCTGCTACAAGTATTTTGGTCGTCAAAATTTGTGTTACAATACTATGTTAGAGAGAAACTGAATCTTTGATAACTATGTACTTAGAAAAATCTCAGATTAGGTTGAAGTTTTTCTGTTAACCATGCACTATAAAACTGATTAGTTATTAGTCTGTTTTGTATCTAAGAGGATATACTATGGTAGAGACAATCTTTAGGCCAATTTGTTCTCTTCTTAGTACTTAATCTTTGTGTTTATCATACTTTTTTTTTGTTTATGTCAGTGATGAATCTTTCTCCGTTTAAGAGAGATATCGATGAACTCATAGACGAGTTTGTGGAGGTACTTCTACTCTTTTTTCTCCATCTTTGTTTGCTTATGGAAAAATTGAATGTCACTTCTTCTCCAGCTTTTAATTTGTTGAGTCTCTGGTTTTACTTACAGGGTGATTTTACCAGTTTTGCTGATATGAAGCGGGTGTGGCTATCCCGAATGTTTTCTTATATATACGACGCCATTCCTAACAAGAAACTAGCCTTTGTCATGCAGTCACTATATGCTCATTCCATTGGTACGTTTGAGCTTTAATTCATGGATTTTTTTGGAATACTCAGAATTAATTTTCTGTTGCTGTTTGGATCCACATTGTGCTTGTTTCTTAGCTAAACCCACAAACCAACGTTATGTCTACAGGTCACATGGTTAGTATTGATTCTTTTTCACGGAGACTTGGAGGTCTTTACTGTCTCTATTGCCTTCATGAGGTCCAACCTTTCAAACCCATGTTCAGGATTTTTATCTCACTTCGTAAGTGTTTACTATTTGTCGTTGCTGTAAGCTTTTATAATGTAACTTGTACATAACAAGTTTGATCTGTCGACCATTTTTCACTGGTTTCGTTCTTCGTTCCTAAAATGTGAAAGCTCCTGTGATGTGATTCATTAATTGTGCTTTTGCTGATCTCAACATTTTTTTGCTTGGTAGTTTTATGTTCTTACTGAAAGCAATTCTTTCAAACCTCTCCTTATTGTTAGAATCTTACTAAACTTGTACTGTTCTCATCTTGCAGACGAGCTTGGGAAATTTAGGGATCTAGTCGTTGAGGCAAAAGATAAAGGCGTAGAGATAGCTACTGCCGTGGCGAAACAAATGCTTGATAAAAACGTGTTTATATTTGGAGCTGTGGATTTAAATGAAGCGTCTTCAACTGAGAAACTCAATCATTTAACAGAGCTACAGAATGCACGAGTGCGGTTAGCCTATAAAAAGTATGTTATTCTGTCCTTTAAGTTTTTTCTGAGAACCAACAAATCGTTATATGAAAATAATCGTTTTAGTGATATGATTCTCATCTTCACTTGACAGATTAATCTCTGACACTGAGATTGAGAAATTTATACATATGGATATGGTGAGTATGATCTCTGTTGCTCTTTCCCAAATATAGAAGAAAAAATAATATATGTGTCCAATAATTTGATTTGATTACTTGACTAAAAGTGTTCTTTATTGGAACTTCAGGGTAATGAAGTTGATCTGAGTTCTCTACATAAAATGTCTATAGAATATGCAAAGGCCAAGATGCGCGCAATAAAAGGTATCCCTACTTTAAAGTTCGTAAAGTTTATTTGATTTCGAGCTCTGTGAATTTTGAAGCATGTGCGTAGTAATGTTTGTGTGGTACCATCATGATTCATTATGTTTATATCGCTTGTTTGGTAATCTTAAGTTGCAGGAGAAATAGTGGAGATTGAGAACATAAAGCACATATCGGAAGAGAAAGAATTGATGGGAGAGAGTGTGGAGAAACTGAAGGAGGAATGGGATTCACAAAGAGTTTCGTTTTATGAACAAACCAAGCTCAATTGTCTTACTACGACTCAGAAACAAGTGGAAGATGATAACAATGATGAAGATGAGGGGTTTGATGAGCTTGATCGCCTACTTTCTGAGAGCTGATTCGCCATTGCAATCACCGTTCAAAGTTAATGAATGCCCGCGAATGAAAAGCTATTTATAGATATAGCACTAGTTTACAGGTAGGTTTGCAACAATCAAACTCACATGTATCAAAATGTTTATCTTCTGGTTCTGAGATTATGAATTTATGATCAGGTAATATCAGAGTCATGTTGTGTCAAGAGAGCTACAACACCATCTCAAAAAAATAATCAAGAGAGCAGCATGTTGATTAGCAGAGTATATATATTGGTTAGTGAATTAAGTAAAATTTAACAAGGGATTAAAAATGTCCATTTAAGTTACTTGAAATAAGGCAATCATGTCTCTTCTCTCCAATTTTGACATTGTTTAGTGTTTTGAAAATATTAAAACACTCATTTTGTGGTTAGTTTTATCATGAATTAATAGAGTTTTTTTTTAACATTCATTTTTATTTTATAATATTGCATTATTACTTCATAAAAGCTGTCTGAGTTGTACATTTATTTTATCTAAAATAGAAAAGAACCAAACAAAAAAAAAAGGTTTATTTGGCTGATTTGGAGAAAATGAGGTTGGTGATTGTACAATTTGAAGATAATGTGGGACCTAAAGTTGTGGATGCGGAAGGGGTTGGTGAGACGAGTGGTGTCTGCTGCTCTGCTAGATCTTTGCCACTGTGGTTGTTGCCTTTGTGGTCCCCACACTTTCTCCTCTTGTACCTTTTAGGGCCCACACATGGACCTCACTTAACTTAAAACAAAAATATGAGTGTTTTTCAATTGGGCTTGGTCAATATTTAAGGTCGACGAGTCTAATTAGTTAGATCGAGTGGATAGCAAAAACTTTAGTAAAAGAATGAAGAAGTTGAACTATAAGTTCATTACTGAAACATAATTATTTCTTTAGGAATTTTTATTTTCACTATCTTAATCAATGTTAAACTAGTATAGTTTTGTGACTTTGGTTCATGTACTTTGCATTCACTCGCATTCTCACCAAAATCCTATATTATCTTTTTCCTTAATTTTTTTTTATAGTTTCAAAATCCTATATTATCAAGACTTTCTTTAAATAAAAACTCTTAATTATCGAAAATCGGAATATATATATATAAGTTTGTTTGTTAATTGACTTTTTCAGATTTTTTTCTATGTTGAAAGTAAAAGCAAATCAGTGAATCGCATTTAAAAAAAAATGTTTAAAAAATAGTAAACGTAATAAGATTAGTTGATTGGTTTCTTAATTTGTCTAATATGGTGTTATCTTAAAATGCTTTCTTTAGTATCTTATGTCCCTCGACTCCGAAACATCATTCATCAATGTGGTCTTGTAAAAAATAGATAGATAACTTTTCAACAACAAAATAAATACCGACAATTCAAATATCTATGGGGAAAAAGATATATGTAAAATATTGTTAAACAAAGAAGATGGTGAGATTCTGGTTTTATATTGGAGTCATCCACTGGTGGAGCTAAAAAATTTATTTAACTATTTTTGGTTAATATGATATTTTAACTGATAAAAGCATAGCAGAGTTAAAATACTTTACATATCATACTTAATATATCACTAGATGAAGGATCTACATATATACGAGTTTCTAATTTAAATTTTTATATAGATGTG